CATTTTACGCATCCCTGGTGAGAATTCTTTTCTTGAGCAAAGCTCGTCATGTCACAGTGTTTGCTCCAGTGTTTAATTAATTAAAACACAGTCAGTAACGAGTTTCAATTTACATTTTTAATAAAGTTCGGATGTAACGCGCGCTCCCATTGGTTGAAAGAGCGTTTTTCATCAGAGAACACGCCATCTAACAATTTGTACAATGTCCGACCATCTACCGGCCGGACTTCTCTCTGGCTGTTTTTTTTTTTTTTTTCCCAAAAAATGGACCCACAAGTCTTACATGACCTATAACACGAACATGATAAGGAGCACTTAGCTTCAATCGATACAGAACAACCTAAAGGAACCCAAAGACGTAGCGCCCTTTGCAACAGAACAGAGAACAATCAAGGCGTGATTGGACGAGTCTCAGGGAGCAAAACTGGCGCGAGAAGCTTTCCAAAAATGGAATGCTCTCTTTGATTGGCCCATTCCTGGAAAGAAGCGTTGTTCGAGTGAAAGCTGCTGATCCAGGCTTGGAACAATGTTGTATGACATCCCTGAACGGTGGCGAAGGAGACTAGATTGACACGGGCAAATATGTAGCGACCCATTCTCATTCTGCATCATTTATCATCATTCATTTACAGGCGAAAATGCGGCAAAAAATTTCTCTTCCTTTCGGGGACTTACCATAACCGTACATGACGGAGCGTTCCGTGAGGATTTTAGTTCTTTTTTTGTGTATTGTTTTGCAACTTTTTTGGTTATTTTGTTATATTTTTGCCAGGAAGAGATGGTCAACGTCTACTGCGAGTAAGGCAGGCAGGTTCCAATCGTGGATTACACTTGATATTGAACGTTAAACAAGAGGAATATTACGGGACGACATCGTATGTTGCCGGCCTCAAAGTTCTCATTCATGATCAGCAGACTCTGCCACTGGTCTCTCAGCTTGGCTTTGCTGTGAGTCCTGGTACGAGTACGTTTGCGGCGTTAAAAAAACTACGGGTAATAGATTACATTGTCTAATACTGTCGGATTATTTTATGTGAACTTAGTTTTGTCAGCTCATGGGCTTAACAAGTGGAAGGCTTTAACCCCTAAACTTCCTCTGATTCTTACAACATCCATACATTTTCGAGCAGAAAATGTATGGATGTAAGAATGTCGCCCTGATCGACAAGTTGCATCTCAAAAAAAATTCGAGACGATTGGAAGACATCCTCCAAAACATTTTTTAGTTTTCTCTTTAATTGGATTGTTACGTCAGTATCTCGCCCATTGTAAGGATTCTCTTTTATTGGATTGTTCATCAGTACCTCGCGCACTTTTAGGATAAGTATCTTGAGAACTTTTGCGATTCTCCTTCATTCGATTGTTACGTTAGTTTCTCGCGTAGTTTTAGAATTCTTTTTAATTCCATTGTTACCCTAATATCTCGCGCACTTTTAGAATTATCATTCAATGGATTGTTACGTTAGTATCTCGTACACTTCTAGGATTTTCTTCCAATGGACTGCTACGTTAGTATCTGACGCACTTTGAGATTATCTTACACTGGCGCACTTTTAGGATTATCTTTCGATGGATTGTTACGTTAGCATCTCGCCCATCTTAAGGATTCTTTTTCATTGGATTGTTACGTTAGTATCTCACGCACTTTTAGGTTCATTTTTCATTGGATTGTTGCGTTAGTCCTTGCACACTTTTAGGATTCTTTCTCATCATCTCGTGCGCGTTTAAATTTCTCATTGATTGGAATATTACGTTAGCCTCTCGTGCCCTTTAGGATTTATTTTTCAATCGATATAGTTTCGTTAGTACCTCGCGCACTCTTGGGATTCTCTCTCATCGGAGGTAAGAGGTAGTTTTATGGACAAAGTATAAGGCGCATGGTGAAGTTAACCACAGAAATTCGGAATTCTTTCGAAACTCAATTGAAAATTGCTCTGAAATTAAAGTTTTTTTTTAACCACAGACACTCAATCTTCCAAAACCTTATGAGGGAAACTGCCATGACAAAGAGATTACTAGCATACCTGGCTATAACAAGTACACGATTCCTTCTTGCCAAGAGATTTGTGTGACCAACTTTGTAATAAACAAGTGTGGATGCAGGGACGCTTTGATGCCGGGTAAGTCATTAAAGTTGTGCTTCGCTGACCATTTGTTAGCTTGCAAGGCGCTCATCAGAGCAGCAGCGAAGGACGCGCGCTTTTCTGCCCACCGGGGATCTGGCACTAATAATGGTATAACGGTATTAGTATATACTTAAACGGTGGATAGCGTCATAGGCGGGCTCTGATTGACTTCTCAAACTCTGAATATCCTTTGTTATTCACTTGAAGCACAGAGTTTGCACCCGAAAATATTATTGTCGTCGCAGGAAAAAATGAGCTACTTTTTTCCTTTTGTGCCGTATTATCTCACTGTTTTGGTCTAAAACAACGAATTATCTCAGATTCAGTGGCTGGCGGTGGATATAAACCTAGCTGCTTCACCACTCCCAGTTCGGTGACTAGTTGCTAATGCTCAGGAGCCGATGGGGCTTCTGATATGATGTACTTCGTTACGAATTTTAAATCTTGATTCCCAAGCAAAACTCAACTTTGCTCAACTTTCTCTAACTCTTTTTCTTGTTCAAACTGTTAGGTCTTTTAGATGACAGGTATTCATGAGTAACTCATGACGGTAAAATAAAGAAATGCATTTGTACCAGTGCGTTCTTATCAACATTTTAGCTTGTCATTTTTGCATAACCATTAGTTATAAATGTAAATTGAGCGTCGGTGAATAACTTCACACACTTTTGCACATAAATGACATCATACCAAAGTTTACAGGTACGTAGTCTGTAGTGTCAGCTGTCAGGTCGACCCATTCCCCAAGGGCGCCCGAGCGAGAGATGGGGCTTCACCCGGGGCTTTGCGTGAGGAGACCACTTACCTATCAGATCAATAGATGCGTGCGCGGAAAACATGGGGTTCATTTTTTACAAAAAAACCGATAAGAAAATCAGTGCTCTTGTTGATTTTCTCTTCTCTCGACTTTTTCACAGAAATGAACAACACCAGAGTGTGTGGATTGAGTGAAATCAAGAACTGCCTTGTGAAAGAGATGAGTATGTAGACATTTATATTACTTTTTTTATAATACTTATGATAAAGTCTGTTAAATCGCTTGTATTTAGTCCAAAGGTCAAAAAACTTTCAGTCTTCGACTGAGTTGGGGAGAGGAGCTGGGGAACGAGTAATCTCGTACCCAGATCCTGCCGTGTAACTGCACCTGAAATGTACAATTTCAACCGCTTGGCCGTAGAATGTCTGGGTAAGACACTAGGAGACAAGGGTATACCAAGTGTTTCATCAAGATTCATTTACTTTCCAATTCCGACTCCCTGTCATTCCAAATAGATGAAGTAGGCTAAGACGTAACCAGCAGACCCCCGTAGCCTTTCACTGCATACCCTCGAAAGCATTTAGAGGAGGATTCCTCCCTTCCACAAGCCCTTTCACAATGTCATGAAAATGGCGTTTTGAACTCCCTCGTACTTGGAAGGTCAAAAAACACTTAAGTTAAAATGTTGCATTGCTCCTTTCAGGCAACTTTTATAGTAGAATAGATGACCAGTGTGAGTGCCCAGTACCTTGTGAATCCATCTCTTTCAATCCCATATTGTCATACGCTACCTTTCCGAGTAAAAATCTCCTCAAAAGGATCGTCAAAGAACATGATGAATCCAATGTTAAACCAGATGTCATAAAAAGAGGACAAGAAATAATGAGGTATTCGTATTGTAGTTTCGAAAGGTGAAGATTGTGTTGAGCCATGGAGCGACAGAAATTTAAAGTGGCTGAGCAAAAGTCAAACAAAAATTAGCCAGCGTTGACCCTGAATTTGTTCTATTTTATTCCATTCTGTGAGGTCATTTTGTTATTTGCTATCACACAAAGTTCAGAATATAATTTCTCTCAATTACTTGTGATGAGGCAGTTTCGTTGATAAGTCTCTTGAGGTTGTGTACCTACGGCCACACATGAATTTTGTCTTGTTACTAAAGCAAAGGATTCTCGACCAATCTATGGTGGAAAAAAGATTAACAAAACAATGAACAGCTAATGAAATCAGAAAATGCTGACATTTCACTTGGGAAATAATACCTGAAAAATATGACCTGTAGTTGGCTACTTACCACATAAGTATTTTTTTCATATTTAATACTTCAACAGCCAGAATCAGCTGGAACTGCGCGTGTATTTTCAAGAACTCAATTACCAAGTCATCGAGGAAATACCTGCTTATAACTATGAAAGTCTTTTAGGTACGTGTCGGCGTAAGATCCACAAATTGGATCTAAGATCTCTTGAAGTGCATGGTCCAGTCGTCTGGGAAAAAAATATTGGGTGATAACAGAGCAATCAAATTTTTCGTTGATCAAAGCTCTGGGATGGCTTAATTTTTAAATATATCACTAGAATATGTTAGATATATGTTATATATTTGAATATATCACTTCTAATTGTCACTTTTAAAAACGATCCTCTTTTCGGTCGGGTGCTTAGTTGCCAGGCCTCTGAGAAAGGTCTAGGCCGAAAGTGACGTCACTTTGGTTATAATCCCGGTGTTTTTCAACTGTAAATTACTTCTATATCGTGCCAACAATTTTCTCCTTTCTATCGATCATGAAGGTACCTATAGCCTCTCTCTCTTTAAAACCTTGACAGCTATGCCTATAACTGTGAGAATGAACATTTGTAAAAAGATCCAAGTTTATCACATAATTGTTGTTGGAGGTCAAAAAGACTAAGATCTTCTTACCTTCTTTTCACCACAGGTGAAATCGGCGGTCAAGTTGGTCTCTGTGTTGGTGCCAGTCTCTTGACCGTGCTTGAATTCTTTGACCTCATAATTGCTATCGTCGGGATACGGCTAGGATTTAGATAAAATCACGCACTGAACGATGTAATAGCGTACAGCAGGAGCCCATTGCTGCTTACAATGAGGCCTTAAACTACGGTAGAAAATTGAAACAAATCTTCAAGCTTTCACCGATCCATGCATCACCAGATGATCAGACCTTTGAAGCCAAAGAGATTTATTTGCAAAGTTTAGGTCTTTGATTTAACCTCTAGACACGCAACCGGCCCCCAGAATCGCAAACTTAGCTAGGCGTTTTAGCAAGCTGTTGTAGCTGCGAATAACCCCCGTGAACTACAAGCTCAGCTGGTTGGTTAGCAAGTTAGTGTATTTTAAACATAGCGAGAGTCTTCTCTGTAATCATTAATGTTTAAGCAAAGCATAACTTCTTTAGTTTAGAAAGCAATTGGTATCATAATCGCTAATGGTCATAGGCAGTAGAAAGTAAAAACGTCTGCGGTAAAGCCTTTTTAAAATACTCGATGTCATCCCTGGCAATGCCGCCCCAACTCACCTCCCCAAACCAAGTAACCAAAATCATTCCTCAATATATTACTCTATAAATACCTGTAAATTCAAGTCACCAAGTCTGTAAAAGTTGTTGAATTCAATAAATAATCTGTCTGTCTCAAATTTTCAGTAAACAAATGTTTGTGGTATTGCGATTAGTGATCAACGACTCTTCTACTGGCGATCTCAGCCTGGGACTTACGTGACTGAGGAAAGACTTAGGGGCGCCTTGGAAATGGGACGACGTGACTTCTATTCTGCAAAGGATAATTATATTACGTCCTTGAATCCAGTCATGCGTCAACATTAAGTTGCTTGGTTAGTTACGCAAAGGAATTGACAACTAGAGCATCCACTGTGATATCCGAAACATTCATGTTTTATTTACCGCAGCTAGATAGAAGCGATGATTTTCTTTCGTATGAGGGAATACAAAGGTAATCAAAACCGTGAAAAAAAAAAGAAAGGTTAAAAGGAAAAGTAAATAGACTAAAAGAATTTGAACCTGCGACTCTTTCATAATAGCGATTTAGTAGGTTAACCAACCGAGTTGTCAAGGCAACTGGAAGCTGGTGAAAATGTAATATTCATCTTCATTATCCCATCATTCTCACATCCCTTCCACACCAGAGCTTAAACATGCTTTAAAGCTGTCTTGTTAAGCGAGGTTTGTCGACTCCATTTAAGCACATTGAAAAGACGAGTTGGTGAATTCTTGAAACCTATGGAATAGAATAAATCAGTTTTCCAGTTAGCTGTTTCTGATTTTCATTCAGTCAAACCCGGTTTAACTAAATGTGTTTTTCTTGTAATATATCAACCAGTTAATATTCTTGGACTATTTCTAGTCTTCGAAAGAACAGCCTGCCGTTCATATGAGTTAACTGATTACTAATTCAGTGTGGAAGATGAAAAGTTATTAATTATTAAGCGGATTATCATAATTGAAATACATCTCACCGCAAGATAATTGAAATATTTCACGGCAAGCTCCACTCACCGTAGAAACTCAACATCTGCTTTTCGTGTCAAACTAAATTTGACTGAAGTACTTACTTAAGCAGGTTGACAGATACTTCAGTTGGCTAAAGTACTTGCTTTAGCAGGTACTTTTGGGGACAGGTCTTTCAGCTGACTGAAGTTCCTGCTTTAGCTCAAGCTTTGAGAGTTTTTTTCTCTTAAGTTATCTTATTAAGTGTAATTCTAATCTATTCCATGAGTCCTTTTTACTTTTCATTTCATCAATCTTGCTTTGGTCTTGGCCGACCTTAACCTCAAAAGTGTGAAATTTTAGGAAAACGCCATTCTGGAGAGAAACTTCAAACCGAAGGTACGCACTCAGTATGCGGGAACTGTTTCACGGATTTCAACATGATTCGCTTGCTGAGCGAGAAGTAGTGACGTTGGTCAAATATTGACGCTTGCCAACTGTCACCTTTTTAAATTAGAGATTAGCACTTTCCTAGAGAGTAGAGTTGGACCCAAGCTAGCACGTTGTATTGAGTTTTCAAGAAACGAAACAAAAAAGTATCAACTGGACAGGAAGTGTCAGAAAAATCTTCTAGCAAGGGCGGGAAAGAATCCACTATGAATCCTGGATTTTCTAAAGCAGAATTAGCAGAAACAAAATATCCAAAGCGAGGCAAGTCATATGATGTTAACCACACTTCTGACGGTCAGACTGCTCAAGTCTCGAGTCAGAAAGCAGAGATCGAGAAAACATGGAATAAATTTGTCGAGTCGTCCACTCTTCACGGTTTGCTTCACGTCTTCTCCAGCTCAACCAGAACGCGTCGCTTTCTATGGGCTGTGCTTCTTTTGCTAGCAATGATGTGGTTTTCATTTCAGTCCTTCAAGTTGATTGAGAAGTATTACAGGTACCGAGTCACGACAAAAGTCAGTTTGAAATACGACCCCATGCCGACTTTTCCAGCGGTGACTATCTGCAACTTCAACGTGTTCAAAAGGTCTGTGGTTAGAACGTCAGCGTATGAAGAAATTTTGCCCCAAATTCATGCATCCGTTGTTAAAAAAATGGGCTTGCCCGAAGTCAATGATAGCTTTGACTTAAACAAATATCATGAGTTAAACCTCACACAGTTTTACATCGATGCAGGACACCAAAGCAATGATACTGTTGAACATTGCATTTGGGACGGAAAACCGACCTGCGATCACAGGAATTTCACGTCCGTGTTGACATCAATGGGACTTTGCCACACTTTCAACTCAGGTAAATTTTAAGAATATTAAAAATAAATAAACACAGTCAGCAACGAGATTAATTTGCATTTTGAATAAATTTCGGATGTAACGAGCGCTTCCATTGGTTGAAAGAGCGTGTTTTATCAGAGAACAAACACAGAACTAAAGCTATCACGCCATCTGCCAATATGTACAATATCCGACCATCTCCTGGCTTTTTTTTTTAAAACATTGACCTACAAGTCTGGCATAACCTATAGCACGAAAATGAAAACGAGCTCTTAGCTTCAACCGGATACAGAACAACGAAAAGGAACCCGAACTGAAAGAAGTAGCGCGCTTTGCAACAGAACAGAGCACAATCAAGGCGTGATTGGACTAGTCTCAAGGAGCAAAACTGGCGCGAGAAGCTTTCCAAAAATGGAAGGCTATCTGTGATTGGTCTTTCCTTGGAGAGAAGCATTGTTCGAGTGGAAACAGCTGATCCAGGCTTAGTAGAATGTTGTATGACATCCCTGAACGACAGCGAAGGAGACTACATTGATACGGGCAAATATGCGGCGACCAATTCTCTTTC